AAAATAGTTGCAGTTGTCATGTTGGGCTCGGATATTGATCATCTAGGGTCAATGGTGAGCGAATATAGCTGATTCCCATGACCTCACTTTTGTGAACACAAAGTTTCTGAAACGTGACTCTCATCTCATCACTTTCTACAGCGGCGAAATAAGACCACAAATAGACTTTGTATCTGTCAGACATCGCGATTAAGGACTATTGACTGATGTTAGGGCTGTGCTGAAGAAAATGAAGAAGAATATGAAGAAGAACATAAAGAAGGAGATAAAGAAAAAATGAATATGGATTCGAAGATGAAGATAAGGATAATTATGAAAATGTGGGTAAAGATTTAGATGAATGTGAGCATGAATATGATAGTGAAGATTAGGTGAAAAAACTGCAGCCTATGACCTGCGCTGGCTAAGAAATTTTTGAAAGAGCTAGGAGCAAAATTTTACTTTTTTTGAGAGGAGTCTCAAGAAAAATTTTAGAGCGATTAGGCCACACTGATAGACACTTTGCGGTACTCTGCAGGATGAACATCTGAGAAATCTGGTAACTCATTCAAGTCTCTCCCAGTATCAAAGAACGAGCTTTCGTCGCTATGAATGGCGAAGTTGTTAGTTTTAATAACAGCCAGATTCGGAGCCTTCATCAAGTTGAGACACCTGAGACTGCGCCCTTATTAGTATGTCACTGCGCGCTACTTGGTACCCTGTAAGCAGAGTAGACAGGCGATTTCTGAAGGAACGTTGGAAGATTGGTCTATGGAGAATGCACAGTTACGTCTGTATAAATTGATCCTCAGCGCATTCTCAGCTAGTCGGTGCACTTCACAGTAAACTTAAGCAGGGCTTACAAGTGAGGGTCTAGCTCCTAGTATGAAGTGGTATAGGTTCATGCTGATGGGGTGGAAGGTATATTACTCTCATCTGTTTGCAAGACCAGATCTCTGCAATATCTAGACCAGGGAAAAGAGAAAAAGGGAAAGGGAAGCCTATCACAAAGGAAATGTTCGCGACGCAAGAGGGCAGATGAACTCCCGCAACCTGGTTCAGAACAGTGTGATAGTAAAGCGCCACTACGAAGCAGGAATCGAAGTTGTTCTGAGTAAGGGCATGTGGTATGGAAACGTTTAGAAATTTGAAGTAAAACAAATGGGACCTAAAGAAGTAGAGCCTAGAAGTGAGGAAGGGACACGGTCTTCAAGATTAATGAAACTAGATGCGTGGGATGTGACCAAGCAAAGGGAAATCAATAGCAAGTGATCTTATGATCTGAGTGATCAACAATATCTCTAAATGTGATCATGAATGAATAATGATCATAGCCAAGCGTTGTTGGATAGAGAATCATAGATAAGCATTGCGCCGACGACATTATTGGCAAAGGCACAAAACAAAGGTGTCTATTTAGATATGTTGGGAATGATACTCGAGTTGCAAATTACGCCAGTTTATAACGCATAGGATAATAGGATGACGGTCCTTGCGTCGTTTGGTACGGGTTTAATAAAAGAATGGGTATACCCATAAAGTAGCATATCAGAGTAAAGAACGAAATTGAAGTAACAGGGACTGATGCTTCAGTTCAGCGCAACACTAACATGTCTATCGGAAAGCAAGAACAGGTCAGTGAAAGAACAGGACATGTTGTGGTAATGGAAGGAGCCTGTACATCACTCGGGAGACAGTAAGTAGAGGTGTTGTGTGAAGGAAAAAGGGTTGCAGCAGCAGAATACTGTAAGGAGCATGTAAGCAAGGTATGGCGGCAGGAGTGTACTTTGTCAAAGACCCGTAATCAACGAAAGTGGCCAGTCTATGGCTTTGAAGAGAGTGGAGATGTTGGAATACGGATAAATGGCATTAAAGATGAAAGTTTTCAAACCAGTGGCTGAGAAAGGATGCCAAGAAGTCATCTAAAAAAGAGAACCGGTCGTCAAATGAGTTCCGGACGAGGAACTCTGTTAGACCAACTCAGTTCAGATGGCACGTATGCACGAGGGATGCTCTATCAACAGAAGTGAAAAGAAAGACTAGTGCTCTGGTAATTAGTGCCCCAATAAGCAAGAGACCTGCTGATGTTCATAACATCTGTAAAATATAGGCTAGGAATGTATTATTACAAAGCACATGCGAAAACTGGTTCACAATTCTCGTTCTAGCAATATCTCACTTCAAAAGGGCTCACCAGTGAGCATGGATGGTGAACTTTTGATGGCATAGACCAAAGCCGACCATCATGTAAACCATGTTGTTGAAGGATGAAAATGGGTTGGCCGGTTTAGGTGAATGGTGCGGTGGAATGAAGAACGGAAAGATGGAGCTGCAAATGTAGAAGATGAAGGAAGATCATGGAGGACGGATTTGTTGATATGAAGGAATGATTGCGATAAGTAAACACTCATACTCCAACTTTGGTGTTGCCAACTAAGTGGCGATTAGGATGAGATAAGGAAATAAGGTCGAGCAGCAGGGAGCCGGAAGTAATGACAAGGACGAGAAGCAGCCGTGAAGAAACAGTCCTGACGCATTAGCAGCCTGATCAACTACAAGGAAGAAATGGGGGAGAACAAAAGCGATATTGCAGTTCCTTTCACCAGGTCAGTGAGAGAGAATTCACCGGTAGGAATGGATCCAGTCACGGCCTACGATGTGTATCGTGACCGTAGCCCGGTGCCGTATTAGCCGGGGACTTCCTAAAACTTCTGGTGGAGTTGTTTTCGAATTTTTTTAGCTCTGCGGAGGGTAATGGATGAAGGTTATAAATGCCTCATCTCCCTCAAGAAGTCGGTGCATCTTACCATGAACTATTGGAGTCCTTGTTACAGTGAAAGGAGCTGGAAACGGTGCACTCGATGAAGTTGAAGGGAGCGGTGAAGCAACAGTTCCAGCCAAAGTAACCATTCATAGCAGAACGAGTTGCGTTGACGTCTATGTCTCAGAGGACGGACCAGACTTTGCAGGAACACTATCCGGAGCTATAGAGGCCCACAAACAAACAGAGGATTCGAGAATTTGAAAGATATACGGAATGCATTGGTAGCGATGGTATTTATAGTTCGGTTCGCTTCTGTAGGATTTGAAAAGCGGTTTATTTATAGTTCGGTTTGCTTCTGTAGGATTTGAAAAGCGGTTGCTTGATAGTGTTGCACCACTTGTTTTAATTTAGCCGTCAATGGTAATTTTACCTCTGAAAATGTAAAAGTATCATATTAAAAGCTTCAGTCTAAACTGAACTTCAAATTTTAAAGAGTTGAAATGAAAGTGCATCCTATTATCATAGTCAGCCATTGCTGCATGAGAAAGTGCTATTAGAAAGTAAACTGCTAACGTCCCAAATGCATAAAAAAATGTGTTGTCCATAGCAGGTATATACCAAATGACTGTTAAAAATATAATTGCTTCATAGGAGAAGTGGGTCTCAGAAAAGGCTTATAAGGCTCGCACTATTAAAGTTGACTTCGAAAGGCTATCTATTAACATTGAAAACTCTTCTACAGGAAGCGCTTCTCTTGAATTCTACTTTTCCATAGCCTTATTTCGATAGCATAATGCTGTTGAAGGCTTTCCAATCCTCATTGGTTTTGGAACCTGCATCTATCACTGGCATTTCATCACTTTTGTAATTTTCCTTTAGGCTTACACACCTTCTTGTTTATTGTTGTCAACTGGAGCACAAAGAATGGGAAAATAAGAATAACTTGAGGAAGACCTTCCCTGCATCAGCTGAGCCCGCCTAATTAGAACCCTTGAATCGTATAACATCTAAAAATTCAATGCAAGTCATTTGTTCAAGCAACCCCATGTTAGTCTCAAAGCCGCGATCAAAAAAGTGTCAAATGACCACTAAAACTTGAAAAAATGCCTAGCTTTTAGCTGTGAGTCGCTGGGCGGAACGGGACCAAAGCCTCTCCTAGAGAAAGCATAATCAAGCTTCACCTGACAGACCGTATCTTTGATAACGGCATTCATTGCTCGTCTCCACACATAATTGAAAAGTTTCGATTTCGTGGAGGTTCCCAGTTAGTGCGGCAATTAAAGGAGTTGAAGGAGTAATGAATCACTGCTTTTTCATCATCTGGACTGATCCTTCTTGTGGAGTAGGACGGGAGAAAAGCGCATACGCGTTCATTAGAATACATTAGTCTGAGGAACCGTGATAAGGCTCCCGACCTAAAGGCTAACAAGGAAAGGACACTAATTGGTAAGTAGCAGTAACCATTAAAAGGATAGATAATTTACTTTCATGCTATATATTGTGTTTTGAGTACTGATTACAAGTGCACATTTCAAACATGCGGAACGATGTGAAGTGATGGCGCAAACGCTGGGAAGTGTTCTCTCAGAAAAAGTGTTGGTCTGTAACTACCATATAACATCCATAAAGTCTGAGTAATCTAGCGGGAGATAGTGAGAGGGCAATTCTATCCGTTTTTACTTCCTTGCAAAACCCTTTTCCATTTTCTTTTCAATGAAAATGAAAAATGAAATGCGAGTGCGAGAAGTGATTCCCACGCATTAATCTGCGTGACACGTTTCTGTCTTGTGTTCATATCATGCGTGGCCATTTAGCGACCATCAAACATTACTTCAGCTCTTTCAGAGGAAAGGCGACCCTTCATGATACTACAAAAATGCAGGCAAGATTTCATCCAAGAAGCACTTGAATTAGCCGCTCCAGTTCCCTCTACCTGTACACATATCTCACCACATCGAAAATTCAGGAAGTGTCCAAGATTTCGCTCAAGACAAAGCTCCACCTGAGACACCAGTTTGCTGTTTAAATAAGAAAAGTGAGGGCTGCAGGTAATTACCACACGAAGAAATTAATTCCGAAACCCTCTTTCCAAACTCGTTCCGCAGATTTGGCATGAAATAGATTTGAGATCGGCTCTCAAATACTGTGGTATTCTGATTACTATTTTAAACTAGTTTTCTATTCTTGAATATTCACTGAGCTGTTGCGCGGTAGCATTATCTGGCTAGCAGCTCTGGCATTATCCGAATCCTTTTGCTCAAATAATCTGCACTGCTCCGCCAGAAAATAGCTGACCTCCTTTCAACTTCTTTGCTAAGTCTTCGTTAAGGATCAACTCTGTCAAAGCATTCACCAGGAACTCCAGGGAACTCTCGTCAATTCCTTCAACCAGGGAAGCAACCTGAAAATTCCAGCTTGTTCTTAGAGGCATGTTGGGGACTTTGCGTGTTTTCTATTCTTTGTTTGTATCTGAAGCTTGATTTGCAGTATCTGAAGCATAGACGAAACCTCTCTTATTTTGAAGTGTTCGACACGCATTTCCGCATTGAGTACGTAATTGCGGAATGACACCTGAAATCAGCCTAATCTAGGTTCGAAGAAAGAAAGACTTTTTCTAAGAGTTCAGTGCGACTTAGTGAGCAGGTGGCAAGCAAAGCGGTTGGGCTCACGGGACAGGTAGCGGTATGGCGAAAAATTGCACTGATGAAAGAATCGAATTGAAGTTGCCATGTTAATCAAGCTACTCCTTCAATCTGAAGCTATTTCCAGGTAGAACCCGCTTTTTGAACAATGCCAGTAATGGGATTGAAATGAGATGGGTCCGTAGATTAAATGTGAGAGAATCGGTAGAACTGAGCTTCTCTAGTTTAGCCTCCGCCTCCATTGCTGACGTTAGGAACCGACGTGTTCGATCTCCTTGCTGAAAACGATCCATTAAGCATGAAGAATTCCTTATTCGAATAAGTGGTGCTTGCTCGCCTAATTTACCACTACTAATCCTGCTCATGACAAGATTTTGAGCGAACAGTATATGGGAGCACTTGTTCCTGTGAACTAATTGGCTGCATTTGTATATTGGGTCAAATTGCCTTACGAATTATGAATGACTTTCAAGTAGATGGTCAAACTGTCAGCACACCCACTATCACAAAATGTTTTGCTCTCTCTCTTGTGCCTTGCCCTCCCTAGCCACGATACAGGGAGCACAGGTCTTTAAAACAAGCTCAAACGAGACGGCAATTTTTCGCCTACACTTCTTACTATGTAATCCTCAAAAAATCTACAATCTTTACGGTTTGTTACCCTGCAAAAGCTGTATGATGTTGTATGAGGTTCCCCTCGGATTAATTTAGGCCGCACTCGTCAAAACGCCCATAAACAGTTGCACGAAAATGAAAGTCATGAATTATTACCGATCCCATAGATCGCTTACCTGTACAAAAGCATCGACGCGAGAATCAATATAGATGGAAGCATCTCCCTCATTAAGAATAATTCGTGGATAGGAGACCGTGTGCGATTTGATGATGACCTCGCCTTCCGGAAAACGTTGTGCAAGAGCTTAAACAGATTTTTGCCTTTTTTTTAGCACAACCACAAAAAGCTGGCCGCGCCCAAGGCTATTCCCTCGTCCCGCCATTTGGCTTACTAGTTTCACCCTCGCTGATACTGGGCACCCAACGAACGCCTCCTTTGATCGCATACAGGTCTTCCGAGACAGACTTCCATCAGCGGTTCCGAATTAATCCGATCTCACATAGTAAACATCGAGGAAAACATTAAAAACAGACCTGGGAAAAGTGTGCCAGCGCAGATGTCGTCGGCGCCACAGTCTGTTTTCAAATACCCAGCAATAGCTGAGTTATTCTGAGCTGCCCGACTAATTTCGTAATCGAATTTCCTGAAACAGATCAATGATCATGGAGACGTTCCTGCAGCGCAGTTTTATCCAAGGGAAAGAGTGCACGCTCAGCAAGCGACAACAGCACACGGCGTCTACTACTTAAAAGGTGAATCCAAACAAGAGTTCTGGAACACAATGAAACTTTTAAATAATATCAGGCTCGAGCTTGCAGTTCAATATCACACAATCAGATCATTTCACTGATATTTTGACATTTAGTTTTTTATTTCAATTAAAATTTCGTCCCGGCAGTCGATTGACGAGAGAACACACTGACGAGTGAATATTTATTGCTCCCCTCTCACTCTTTTATACAATCCTTTATCTCTCTTCAATATCATCTTGTATCTTCTCCTTCTTCCTTCTTCGCACGCCACTTCCAAGCATTGTCCATTTTTGCTGGTCTCATCCTAAACCGGTCTACTCCACAACATCCCCCCGTAGTGACCGTCCGCTCACTCTACCAGCACCTTGATAACTCCGCAGGCCCCGGCCACTTATTGTACTACTTACTCAACATCACTTTGAACACTTTTCCTTCAAGAATACTATATTTAAGCAGAACATCATTCCATCAATCTCTCGAGAGAAAATTGTGTGGCTTCTTCCACAACCGGGGCCGCCGCTTTCATCACGGCGCCCTTGTCATCTCGCATTTGATGGCGGCCATTTCCTTCCTCCACGGTTCCTCTGGATTCCACTGCGGGAGTCGGATACGACCCCGTACATCGACAAGTCCTGTGACAGCCCGTAGGGGGCAACGCCGCCCTGTACTCGCCAGCCCATCTCGGTCTACACGGAGCACGAGCTCCTCGTTTACGCCAAGTGCGCGCACGCAGGTGCGTGCGCGGCTCGGAAAGATCGGGAGCGCTCCTGCTAAAAATAACCCGTTCACTTCTTGGCGCCCTCCTACTAAACACTCGCAACTCACCGTTTGCAAAACGATCACCGCCGGGGTCGGCCCCACCTGCGGTGAGAAGGGCACCGGAGAATTTGTGGGGCTTACTATCACCAGGGGGGTCCCCCAGACCACCGGTGGGGCCCCTCCGGCTTGTCTCAAAGTAAGTATCGGTCGTCCTGGTGCAATGTTCATCCGCTCCTCTCACAGCGAGCAAATAAACCTTACCGCCCTCCATCCTTTTTATACCCTTAGCCTCCTTCCTATCAGAATCTCTCCTCCTTACCGGACCAATACTAGCCAGATGTTCGTCCTCGATCTTTTTTCCGCTAGATAACACTTCATCTTTTCCGTCATTTTTCTCTTTCTGGCTGTTCTCCGCGATGAGTCTTTCCGGCTATCCACTTCTCCTCTACCTGGCTTTGGCACACCTGATCCGGCCGTCCTTCTTCCTTTCTGAGGGTCCTCCTCTTCCTCCAAAAAGGTCACCCTCTTCTTTATCTGGTCCGCATGGGCCATCCGACCACCGGTGCCGTAATGCACTCGGTAGGTATTCGATCCCACCTTTTCCAGGATGACCCCTGGAATCCATTTCTCATGCCGGCTTTGATACCTACGCAAATACACCTGCTGCCCCACCCCGAATTTCCTTTACTTCGCCCCTTGTCATAGTGCTCCTTCATCTGCCTCATCTGGGGGCCAATACCGGGTTACTAGGGGCCTTCATCAAATCCACCGTCATTCTCAATGAAAGTCCCATTAACATTTCTGCCGGAAAGGTTCCCGTCACTGGGTGCTCCGTTACCCTATATTCAAACAATAAATCTCTAACAGTTGCCTCTAACATCTTACCGGCTTTCCGCCCATTATAGTAACCCTTTGTGAAAGTTTGCACCAATCTTTCCGCCTCCCCGTTAGAGTTATGGTGATAAGGTGGGATGAAAATCAATTCGATTGCCCTTCTGCTACAATACTCCTTAAATTCCTTCGCTATGAATTGTGTCCCATTATCAACCACATTTTGTTCGGGTAGCCCATGAATGCTAAGGATATCCTTCAATTTTTCTATCGTTTTTCTACCGTGGTTGACCCCATTTGCACCACTTCGGGCCATTTTGACTTTGCATCCACTATCACCAACCGTCTTCTGCCGTCAGCGGTCTAGGCAAAATCCATATGTAATCTTTGCCAGACTTTTGCTGGCGTTTCTCAGAGATGCAGCGGTATTCTTCTCATCTCATTCCCGAAGGCTGCGCAAATATCACAGGCTTGTGCCAGCTTCTGTATATCTTTGTCCATTCCCAGATACCATCCCTTCCTCCTGGCCAGCGCCATCATCCGATTCCTTCCATAATGACTATGGTGTAAAACTCCCAATACCATCCTGCGAAACTTCTTCAGGATCACGACTCGGCTACCCCACATAAGACACCCTCTATGTACCTTTATATCTGCCTTAATCTTCTCGCACGGTTGTAGCTCCTATTCTTTTACCCTCGGGGGCCATCCTCCCATTACATGCATGAACACCCTCTTCAGTACCTCATCCTCTTGTGTTGCCTTTGCCACTTGTTGCTCGTTTAATACCATATCCTTCCATGTTTCCGCCGTCATCTGTTTCTCCATCACTTCATTTACCACCATCTGTGAGCTCGGTAATTCCCTAGGATCTGGAAACCTGGATAGCCCATCGGCATTCCCGAATTTCGAGGTCTTCTATATTCTATATCGAACGAATATATCATGAAGCGAAAACTGCAACGGTGTAGCCGTTTTGCTGCAATCGTGGGTATTCCACTTTTCGGTCCAAATATCTCAACCAAAGGTTGTGGTCTGTTAGCAGGGTGAACTTACGACCATACAAAAATTGATTGAACTTTTCTACTCCACACACTATGCCCAGGGCCTCTTTTTTATTTGCGAGTAATTTCTCTCTTCTTTTGTCGCGTTCGTGACGCGTTCGTACACTATCACTTTCTCCTTCCCATCCGGCATCTTATGATAAATTACTGCCCCTATGCCATATTCCGAGGCATCTGTCGTCAAAACTACTGGTAGTTGTGGGTCATAATGTGTTAGAACATCTACTTCTGTCAATCGCTGTTTTATCTGCTTAACTGCATTTCTACAAGCGAGCGATTTCGAGGCCGATCTGTGGTTCGCCCTCAGCCACACCCCACTCTTGCATAGTTCCAGACTAACGAAGACAGTGGTACCATGTAATATCGGATCCGTCTACTCACACTTCTGCAGACAACCGACTTCTGCTGGTACATCGCTAAGTTATGTTAACTGCTTATCTCGAGAAGTTATCATTTCATTCCGTTAGTTGCCGAACTTTGCGTTCGCTTTTTGTAGAGCAGTGTATCAGGTCACTGATACAGCTCATAAGAAAAGTACGTAGGACGCAGTACACATGGCAGATATATGAGAATTTTTCGTCATAGATTTTTCTGTCATAAAATGTCTCAAATTCCAATAAGTTGTCTGGAAAATCTACGCCGATCTTTGAGTCATCTTTAGGTGGGAAATCCTAAAGGGACCGATCCACTCATCAAACAATATATCCTTCACTCTGCTCGGTAACAGTATGCCATCTTTCCGTAAGTTTCATTTTACCACTTCCATAGAGGGTTCCTTATTATGAACGGAAAACCCTCTCAGGTGCTTTCTGCAGTCCTCCAGTGGATTGAACGATTATCAACAAAAAGAATTCTGCAGAACTCTTAACAAGTGGCAAACTGATGGTGCTATGTCCAAACTGCGAGGGGAAATTGTATGACACTTCGCCCAAGCTGCCGCAATTTTTACGAGTGGCCGAAAATACGTGTGGTCTGGAGCTATCCTGGTGGAAGTCAACGCTAATACGATTGGCCAGATGTACGAGCGTTTGGTCCATCTGTCCAGCCTTCGATTTGTTTAGCTGCGCAAAGTACTTTACAAAAGTTATCGTTCGATTATACGGCAACAACTCATGATGAATGATTTCGTTCCAACCCCACTAGCAACACAACATGATCTTCCGCACCTGAAGTTCTGTAGTTCAAATGGTATGTGGCGGCTGTAGGGAGGCTCCACGATCGCTTCCGCTCCTCGTCCTGCTGTTCGTTAGCTGTTTCAAGAACGGCTCATTTTTTTCATCTGAGCAGCGAGTGGCGCACGGAGACGCAGTCCATCAGAATTTGCTCGCTCACTTTGAGGTGCCCAAACATCAAGGCGCTTGACAAAACCAAGTCCCGAAAAAAGGACGTGAATTGTTGATTTCAAAACAACGAATCTTCCCCCGCTTTCACGGATGTTGATGCGCTCAATCGTTTCGATTGACACATTGATAAGGTCGTTTTCAACTGATTATAGCCTCCTTGAGCATTACAGATCTTCGAGATTGGTTATACGGATAGACCCTGAGTAATGTTAATGGCATCCAAATAGGGATATAGGGTGAACTTACCCTATCAAAAAAAAATCATAAGGTTAGGTCCTCGATTGTTTGTACAACCCCAGGGTGTTTTAAAACGGCGGAAACTTTCCGGACAATCCATTATTTCTTGTAGCCGATAAGTCATACATCACTATCAGTACTATGAATTTCTTCTAATTTGACAAACAAATTTTTATATGTTTCTACTAGAAGTATGTGGACAATTAACGGAGGGATACTAGGTCGCATTGGCCATTCAAGATACACATATATTTATATGTATAAATATATATATTTACAGGGTGTTGCAAAATTGGGGGTGCCAATTAATTGCTATGAATCCGAAGCGGAGAATTTGTGGGTGCAGTTGGTATCCTGCCCATCGACTCAGCCAAAAACTTGCATTCGAGTGATTGGGAAGTATCTGGGAGGCGATTCGGGGCCGCCTCCAAAAACAGAGCCCCTCGTACACTTCGGGATAGCCTGGCAAGCCCCCGAAGTCAACCTAGCCTCCACGTCAGAGCCTGGCAAGCTGCACGTTGGGCATCTATTCGCCAACAACAGTAATAGAAATGGGCCTCATTCCCCTGAACCTGAGGGAGCCCCCAATGCGGCAGCGTTGGATAGGAACGCTCGGGAGAGGCTGCTAAAATCTCAGGGCCAAAACAGGTCGCCCACAAGGAGAAATACTA